TTAAGAGCTTTTTATATTACCCATATATAACAAGATATTTTTTGCCCACTAAAAGCCTCATTTAAAACGTATTGGTAGATGTTATCTCTACACTAGGGTCTCTTTGTTTAAGACAATTCAAACGATCAGCTGCTGCTTAGTCGATTGACAGCTGTTAGGTTGGAGCGTACCTGTTGTCCAAGTGTCATCATTAGCCAGAACTTTACACTATATAAAGCAAACACACGAGAAAGGTGATTTGTAGGCGACTGGCTAAAACTGTCATTTGTCATTTAATTACTGAATGCACTTTGAAAATTTTAATCATGGAGTTATCTAATAAATGACAAATACTATTCAACATAAATTAAAAGTTATTAATGTATCTTACTCTCGCTGAGTGTTGAGACCCGAATGCGTGTAATTCAGATCTTAATCTACAAGAGGCACTTGTAGACGTTGACAAAGCCTTGAAAAGAGATAAATAAGGCCAAAACAAAACACTGTCATTGCATTAAATTATCTTCTTAGATATACAGCAGATTTAAATACACAAAACTATGATTTTACAACTATTGTGTATGGGCGTGTAATTTCACCTTCTACTCTAAAGGCAGAACATAAATGAAGATTTCCGTCTTCTGGGTTGTTACGCTGTCGCCCTGATGATGGAGGCAGTACGACCTCTGAAACGTTGGTTAACATCGACCAGACTACACAGCGCAACAACCCAGAAGACAGAAATCTTCATACTCATCGCCCTGATGATGGAGGCAGTATGACCTCTGAAACGTTGGTAAACATCGACCAGACTACACAGCGCAACAACCCAGAAGACAGAAATCTTCATACTCATCGCCCTGATGACGGAGGCAGTATGACCTCTGAAACGTTGGTTAACATCGACCAGACTACACAGCGCAACAACCCAGAAGACGGAAATCTTCATACTCACCGCTGTGAGAACCTCAAGTCCTCCAAGAACATAAATGTCGATTACTTATGGTTGCCTAGCGATGAAACATCAGTCGACATAGCTTTGTAGGTTTGAAAGTGACCAAGAATGGAGAGTAATTGATTTTTGATTTGTAGGCAAAAATCCATATATTGATACTTCGAAAAGAATTCAATTACAAAGTTGTTTAATGCGAGACGGAATCATTTTGGTGAGCGTCAGTTTTTTTGTGGCTCAGCGATGCTACTTGGAGCGTTGTTTCGCAGATGGCGGTTTGTACAACTCACTGACAGGTGAGGCAAGTTGCCTGCCACCGTTGGTTCGCGCACCGTAAACTCGAAGGTATCTGAGGAACTAGTTTTTCCTGTTCGGAAGCTACCGGCTTCGATCTCGGCTTGGATACCGTTAATTCTTTGATTATAATTTAGATAAGCCACGGTCCCGTACAGTTAACTTACCTTCACCATTAGCACTCATACTTCGTACTAGAAGCGTCCCAGCTTCAGTTCTGGAACCTGGCAGATCTGACTGAATTCTTTGTAATTTTCCTTCCCACTTAACGTATCGCGAATAAACAAAGAATCGAATAGTTTTAACAGACGTGTATTTAGTTTAATACAATGAATTCTTTCCGTGTCAGGTCAAACAATATACTTTTGACTTTAGTTGCACTATGCAGCTTACATATTTAATTTAATACGTAATTTTATAATGAATTTGATATGTTGAGATGTAAGTTGATATAATTGCGTCATATTGTGAATTAAAATTTAATTATTCGTGTTTTTTTCCGTCTAATACAATTGTATATAAATAATAATATCTTATGTATAATTTTATTTATATACAATTGTGATTAGACGGGAAAAAAACACGAATAATTAAATGTTGAGATGTATATATGGACCTAATAAATGAGGAATTTTGTCGGGAGAACTTTTTTGTAAAACGTCTTCTTTGAAGATTAAAATGGAGGTTTGAGGATAACATTAAGATGTATCTTAGGGAGATAGGTTGTGAGGGTGGAACGTTAAAGGAACCCAATCAGGATTGTCCCCCAATGGTGGGCTTTGTTATTTGCGTTTGGGTTTAGGTATTGCAGTGTTTGAAGTAGGGCTAATTGTATTAGGAAAAGGAAAATTTTAGATTTTATAAGATTTCTTTATAAGGAAGTTCTGTTATTGTAGTAGCAGACTGAATCAAGTGAACTGCTAGTGAATGCAGAAATAGTCTCTGTCCGGAGGGTTAGTTTCAAGAGTCCTTTTTGTTCTCCCCTAACGAAGCATGGGCTAATTTGTCATGGTTCAGAAATGCACAAGGTGTGCATAATAGCTTCCAGACGGCACTATTAAGACTAATTATGGTGTTACAATGGAAGATCGATTGAATCGTAGATAGGTCTTTGTGAAATGTAAACGAACGTAAAATAAAATGGAATTATTTTAAAGTGCAGTCAAGAAGTAGTCGAGACCTGGAACCACAGGCTGATTAATGATTCGCGTGATGTTGGTTTTCTTAATGATATCAGGTTACTGAAAATAATATCAGCAGACCTAACCTAACTTATAAGTAGAGCCCCTATCTACAGCATGAGACTACCCTTATGTTTTATTACCTTATAAGATATTATCTAGTGAGAATATTTACATAAGCAGATGCTTATAATGTCGGTAATTAATTTATTAATTAATAAAACATCATTCATTTTTAATGTTTGTTGTTCCATTAGTATGCCTGTTTAAGATATTGCGAGAACAAGGATATTTGTAACTAAGATTTTATTTGTTTTAAAACTTATGATTGTTGTATATTTCATTGGTGTAATGTGTGTGCTCATAATTTTAAGCATGTAGAGTGTTTCTTAACCACAGATTATCATTATAGGTTGGGGCATTTCTCAGAAGAAATTATTAAATAATTATTATTCCCAATCGAGATTCAAACCCGATATGATCTGATTCTGCCTCGCGCTGGAAACCCACTCGCTGTTATTTTATATAATATCTATTATTAATGTAACAATATTTTCTCAAAATCGATTGGAATTTATCTTATATTTATTCAATTTCAGAGTATCCATAATTAATATTTATATATAATGTGTTATAAATAGTGCAGTTTATTAATAACAATGCATCGTAAATCTGAGGTCGAAACGTGAAGCTGACCAATGACCTCCAACTACTGTGGACCTTAAGAACACGTGAAGTTGTATCTGAATTACGTCGTGGTGTTTAACCGGGGATAATTTTACCTGTCTGTCTTATGTTGAGTAATATCTCTGTTTTGCACTTAATCTAACTTCAGTGCTTATTTTCATTCTTTAGCGTGGCGCCACTAGGAGCGACTCAGAAGATTGTCTCACGACACACAAAATAATATATTATTGTTAAATTTTTACTCATTATTATTCATATTTTGTCTGTTTAAATATATTTTTCTACATTAATTACAATTTATAAAAATATTAAATTACAAATTATAAATGCATGCAAAATATTAATATTAAAAGTAATATGACTCTGAAAGGGCAGTATATGGCAACTACTACATACATGGAACACTGTAAATAAATATTTTTAAAAGTGCAGTCCATTTGAAAAATGAACAGTAAGAGTAATGTGCTTACAGCATTTTGGTATCAAAGAAACAGCGTCACAAGTTGATGAGACGACAGAAAATGGCGGAAGAAAATCTCACCGCTATTATCACAGATCATGGACAACTTTACAAAATTCAAAATGTCAGAGTACACTTAGTCACACCACAATGGTCGTTAAATACTTTTCTAGCCCAATCGTAGCAAGATTACAATATTTGTTTATAAATGACTAGTTAAGTTCTGAGTGTGTGTTCATAGATTAGTGACGCCACAAAGAAAAATAATTTAATCTTATTCGGAAGTGCCCAAGCCACTAGACAACCTGCAAATAATATTTCACCTGGCCAAACACTGTGCTTAAAACTCATTCTGCAAAGTCACGAATATAACAATCAGCAGGTTGTCCTTTTAGTGGTCTATACATCTCTGTCCTATTATATTACTGTATTTTAATGTAGGTTGCTTTTCATAACGTCAACTTTTTTTACGTACCAGTATTTCTATTTTAAAATCTATGACATGTCGGATGCAAATTAGAATCGATAAAAAGTTTGGGGTGAATAACTCACTTTTACTTCAAGACAGAGTTTCTGCCATATCTCAGCAGGAGTAGTAAGGCGTTCATGTCACGCCCTGTTTGTAACAGACAATCAAATTTGTGAAAACAGTTAGGTCTGCACAGAAATATTAAAAGGCATATGGAACAAGGAACACGCTGTACGTATAATTTGTTTTGTCGCATAATACGTACGTTAGAAACCGTTTTATTAGACTACGTTTCATTAATATTGATGATCTTGCTCTTTTTAATATTACGTGTGTTCTTTGCAAGAAGTGGATGCAGGGAATGGATACCTAACTGGTTATGTGTGTGTGTGTCTGTCCGTCTGTGTGAGTCAACTCGGTAAACGTGGTATCCAAAGCAACCACAGCAGTCAGGGTAACTACGATAACCGTAGTAACCAATTTAAATACAATAAGTTTAGCAAATAGATTTCGTATCGGCCTTATGCGTTCTTTGGAACGTGCATTAGACACATCACACTCTCTTTGTCCCGGGGAATAAATTTACAAATTTTGAAAATAACCACTGCCACCGGGTAAAAAAACCCATTTGCAGTCAAATAAATAATAATAATAATAATAAACTTCTAAATCGTCTATATTTTCAAAATTTGTGAACATTAATAGAGAATAAAAAAGAATGCGACAGAAAATAAAGTAGTGTGCAAAGTCCTAAGGCAGTGGACAAGAAATACAGCTCTTTTCCGAATTTGGGCTTCAAATATTTTCAATACAGATTCTTTACTTTATACAGCACAAATAGTTTGTTTTACTTTATTTGCAGTGTGCAAGATGTGCTAAATATGTAATCAGGAGGCAGCGTCTGTTCTGTTAATCCAGTGTGTTCTTGTTCTGCAGGTGGATGTTCCAACGTTAATCCAGTGTGTTATTGTTCCGCAGGCGGATGTTCCCCACTTGTCGCGTCTCCTTCACTGGGATTCGGCCCGACCAGAGATACGCTGTGTTGATGGACATTGTTCCGGTGGACAACAAAAGGTATCGATACGCATATCACCGGTCTTCATGGCTCGTGGCCGGTAAGGCGGATCCCCCCGCCCCCTGTCGCCTTTACATGCACCCGGATTCGCCCTTTACTGGAGAGCAGCTGAGGAAGCAAGTCGTCTCCTTCGAGAAAGTCAAACTTACCAACAACGAGATGGACAAGAACGGGCAGGTAAAGAGATTTCTTTTAGTCTATGGTCATAAAACTCTTTTAAACGTCTGCAGTAATGCAGAAGTTCAGGAGAATACAAAGTAGGTTGAACTATCAGTTCAACTAAATGTTGCCCGGTATATTTGCCGTCTGAGCGCTGTGGATCTAACGGACTTCCCGTCCACAGACGCGGGACCATCACCAAAAGAATTCTGAATAGTTAAGCTATAAATTGTCTGAAGATGGCTGTCTTATGTGTTGATGGAGACAGCAAGAACCTCTGAAACGTCGGTAAACTTCTACCAGATTACATGGCTCAACAACCCAGACGTACCGCAGTGAAAACCTCAAATGCTACTTAGGTAAATTGCCTTTTTTATATTCCCCTTGAAAAATATGAAAAGCAACCGATTAATATATCAAATTCGATTAAATTTGACCATGTCTTGAAACCCAAGAAAAAATGAACAAAACACCGGTTACCGGAGTGGGAAGCTTCTCTGACTGAAATGTTTGTCTCTCTCCGTTTTTCCTTTCTTTCTTTCTTTCCTATCTTTCTGTTTGCCTGTGGCTTTCACCTTTCCATGCTATTAATCGAATTCCCACATTCCCTTCTCAGAACGAAGATACTAAGTGACACAGGTAACGCACTGAGCCTGACAGTTGTCGCCGTACACCCCCCTCCCCCTCCCCCACCCGTGGATTCGGAGTGACTGTGGCTCAGCTGGTGGCACCAAGCACGATTTACTGCTTTAAGGCAGGGGAGCCGCGTGTCGTACCACAACCCCGTGCGCATTTGACAGTCTTCGGCGATGGACACGGTGATTGATGACAGGCAAGAGGTGATACTACTGACGATAACGGAGAAAGCGATATTACGTATGACATGAAATACTAAAAAGAGAAATACAGCAAAAAAGTCTTATACAATATTAGGCCATCATAGGTACTGGAATTTTTGACTGTGTTTCGTGTTCAGATGTACCTGAGATTTGCTAAAAAAAAAAGAATATAGTACCGGTATCTTATATTTTGAAAATATTTTATTTGAAATAACATGACATAAGTTAAATTCTCGTTCTTATAGCACACACACATACATACGCGTATATATACAGGTACAAACTTACGTAAATGGTATATAATGTGTCCCATAAGTGCACAGCTATAGGAAAAAATGTACAGAAATATATGATCATAAGCTGTGGATCTTGGCCGCATCTTTTGGAGGTTGTTTAATCCAGTGGTATGCAACCTTTTTTGTTCACGTACCCCCAGATATAATTTCCCTTCAACTTTGTACCCCCCAACGTTGTTGGTGTATAATTCAAGTTATATATAGTATATAATCTACATCTAAAATAAATTAAATTACTGATTATTCAGTGTTTATCATAAAATAATATATATATTTTTTTTAAATTTCACGTACCCCGTGAGATGTCTTCGTGTACCCCCAGGGATACGCGTACCTCACGTTGAATACCACTGGTTTAATCTATTTAGATATTTGGTAGTACTCCTTGGACGAGTGTTCATCCTATTGTAAGATCTGTTCCGGTGCACAACGCAGGAAGACGCGGACAAACTTTCATGGCTTGTATTGGATTCGAATCTACGGCCCCATTGTCCAAGAGCACAAGGCCCACGCCTCAGACCGTGATGCCACTGTGAATGGCAAGGAAAAGAGGGGAAAATTTCAAATAGGCCTAATGTGTTTCCAATCTCAAGTTTTAGAATTTTTAATCTGGGGTAAGCCATTAAGATGCTACATACAGTCTTTACTTTAGCAACAGCGATGTTACCATTCTTCATCAAATATTGTTAAAATGTTCATATTAAGGATGATTAGGTTTGTGAAAATTAATTTACAATCCTGAAAGGAAGTCCTAGGAGTAAGTATAATGATAATATTAAAATTTTTTTTAGGAAAATGGGTGTAGATTTGTAGCCTTGATTCATCTGGCTGAGGATAGGGATCGGGAAGGGGGTCTTGTAAATAGTAAAGACTGAGCATTTCTTTACTAGCTGAGAGAGTTTCAGCTTTTCAAGAAGGACTCTGCTCTATGGAGTTGGTTAAACTGGACCTTTTAGGGGATTTACTATTCTCCGTGACAAAATTTCTTTAGAAAATAATCTGATCGTCGAAAGATAAGCATTTATAAAAGCCTAAACAACATAGTTTATCTGTAATCCTGTGTAACGAAATACATATTTTTATATTACTTTTAGAAATATGCTCTGCTTTTCATGAAATCTAGGCGTCTTGTTGCCATATCTTCATTACGTTAGTCTGTGCTGTACATTTATTTCGATTTTACATATAGCGGATAACAATTTAACTTATTTTTGTTTTTGTTTTTTGAAATTTGTTGTTAAAGGAACAGGTAAGATGAACTATGAGAATATGTGAGAACTTATTTCTTCAACAAACACGTGCGCATAAGAATGTTCATCCTGTCAGCGGCGGACAAGATCGGGGACAAACTGGAGTGCCACGGGCGGTCGTCGTCCAGTGATCTCTTCCTTGTGGAAGAGTCAAGGGGATATGAACTCCTTTTGTCCGCACAGACAAAACAAAGTTTTGGACAACGAATTCTGACAAGTCACTATTCAGTGCTTTGCCGTATCAACAGATTTTAATGAAGGGAATTCAAGCAAAATCTATATATGGGCTAATCGGCAAAGGAAACTCGCCAAATTAAATAAATACCGTATTGTTATCAGTATTTCTGTAGAATATAAAAGACTCACAGTTTCGTAAAACAAATTCACAAAAGTAGGAGACACGTCTGTGCTCTAGTGAGTTTCGAACAGGTGTTTCAAGTTTATTAGCGATCGTATTCATTCTAGACCAACGTGTTCAGGAGGGCGTCCATGTTTCTTTTTGTATGCCTTTCATTTCTTCCCTAGTAGTTTCAAATTTTGCTTTAATTTTCATTTTTGATGTTTTCTTATAATCGTGATTTTATGATTTTCTGAAAAATAAAGACAGGCTTACCGACAGACAATAACTGTACTAAAGCTCTTATGCCCGTCTTCATGTTTTACCGATTCTTTATTTACACCGTCGTATCTTCCTTCTGCATCATCTTCCTATTCTTGTTTCATGTTCCTATCATCTTCTCTCTCCTTCTCATCACTGTTCTTCTTTAGGGTTCTCATAAGCATTTGGCTTTTGTGTTGTCGGTGTTGAATCTGCGAGTGCTGCTACAAGGGAGTTAGTTAGTTAGTTATAGACATTGGGATTTTCAGGGCCTCAGACCGAACAAATAGAGTAACAAACATCTGAATTTTGACTAAAAACACAGGTTTTCTTTTCGCTGGAAAATAAACGTATTGGAGTTCGTAATCAAATTATGAAGACTTGGCTTCAAAAGGATTGATACGTTCCATCCAAGTAATAAAGTATCAGTGGGCTGAGCAGTCTCAGTAGGACAAGTCACATACATACAGGAGGTCACAACGGGGGTTAAGAGATTTCTCACCTACACTTCTTAAAATGCTTTCTACTTTTCCTTTTTTTCTTTCTGAAATTTCATTTGAAAAAACAGACTGATCTCCAACAGTATGTAGTTAAAACATTTGAAATATAGGCTTGTAAATGGGCCACATGCATTGGAAGTCCTGGCGTTGATTTATCGGCAATAGCATATTTTACTCGCGATTGTAACTGAAAGCCAGTGAGAAGAATACGGTACCATTTCAATTAGCATCATTGTTCATGATCGAGAGGGGACGGATGTGAAGTTGATCCTGTGTCTAAGCATCACCCCACGAAGACGTATAGAGGTACGCGTTCTATAAGTCAATACTAGATTAAGTTGTTACCTTCACATTCCGGCCGCTTAATCCCCAGAGAAAGAATGCAGTGCCCATTGGTTTAGAAGCTCCGTGGATCCAGAAGCTGTTGTACGCGTGATAGTGGAAAAGAGAAACATTTTTCTTATGCAGTGAATTGAAACACGGTCATCTAGACCAGTGGTATTCAACCTTTTTTGTTCGC